GAGGCACTGTCCCGAATGGTCCCGAATGATACCGCACTTGTGTCCCTTTGAACTTCAGTCGTATAATAAATCTCTCATTAACCAAGCTTGCTCGGGACCGTACTGGAAGAATGTCGGCCCTTGGTCTTTTTTGAAAAGACCTCTCTGCGCTTGGTCCGTACTGTCAAGACCTCAGGCCGATATTCCCCTTGTACAGCCCTCGCGCTTGGTTAATAAGATATATTTATGGCTATTGATGAATGAGTTTCATCGTTTCACTCTGAAGATCTCGTAAATAATTCTCGCTCCTGTCCAACCATACAGCTCTTATGATGTAAGTTCTGAAAACTTGGTCCAGCCATAGAGCTCTTATGATGTACAGTTCAGAAAATTTGGTACTGGATCAACCAATAATCCCCTAACCGATATTTTTCTTTACTTTCGTCACCTTTTGTGATGATATCGTTTTGATCTTGAAAGGAGAGTTACATGACTGTGGCGGGTTGCTTTTAGTTGATATATCAAAGGTACAGCATGGCAGTTTCAAGAAATCCATGTTTAGGGTCAGAAAACTGTAGCAGTAATATTGATGAAGTGTCCTAGGTGGACCATTGATGATGGCCTTTTTTTTTTCAGCTGATGGTGTTGCCCTTGGTGCAGCTGTAACAACATCCAAAACAGAAGTTGAAGTAATTGTGTTTGTAGCTATCATGTTGCATAAGGTATTGTCTTTTTTTCAGTTATCTTGCCTGTTGTGAAGATGAATCTGTTTTTCCTCTTATGAAGAAAAGTTTCACTTGTTAAAAAAAAAAAAAAAATTAGACATCTGGTTAGTCATAGTGAGTTCTCAAAGGGCAAGTAAAGCCTGGCCAAGCTCAATATGCTCCTTTTTGACCCATTGACGTCCAGTGCGCCCGTATGCGCCCATGGGGACCCACACCCTTTCTACGCCCTGTGACGTCATCACTTTTAGCCCTGGAGCACGAATTCGAGCACCTACTTAAACAGGTTGAAAATATCTTACAAATGATACGAGAATGAGCGCAATTGAGTGGAGGAGATTGGAGAAATAGCCAAAAAACCGTGTCACTTTGACCTGAAAATCTGCACGAAAATCGTGTTTCACTACCCACCTACCTTTCCGAGCATGTGCTTTGAAAATAATGAGTAGTTTCTGAAAAATCTCTACACCAAAATGAAGCCTACTCAATTTCCAGCAAGTGAGGAGAAACTT